TCTCTTTGAACTTTAAGAGCAACCTATTTAACTCACCTGACTGGCCCTAACACAGGACGAGCACGTCTTCCGACTATTCAAATTGACGTTTAAGTCTTTTAGGGTGTTTAACACTGAGTGTCTCAGAAGGAAGAAGGAAACACGCACTTTTCATCAGCCCACACGGGCACCAACTGCAAGGTCATCAGAGCACGAAGACCAGGCCGACTCTACAGACAGGGCCCAGCTTCGGGGCCCTCGGATCCAGCCGAGAACGCCACGCCTACTTTTCCAGAGGAAAGGTTCGCATGAGCACATTTCCCCTCGGCGCCTGGAGAAGGCGGTTCTCTGTTGATGATCACAACAGCTGGAGCTCTGTACACCTTCAGAGATCACCCCCCACTTCCACTAATCCCCTCACTTCACATGTCACCGAGACTGTGAGGATGGTAACGGATCAGAAGACTAGGCTCCACGAGGGGCCCCAAACTCTCAGTCCAGCAGGCGACCGGCACCTACGACAGGGCTGTGGGGGGTTTGCTCTGGGCTCTCTGCCTCCGCACAGAAGAGCAGCAGCCTTCCAGTAACCCTGCTCAAAGCCTCGATGGGAGGGAGGGCGAGTCTTCTGTGAACGCCGTCCCCATCACTAGAGGCAAACTTGAAAAATGGGGTGGACGCATAGGTTTTCTTGTCTACAGGCTCCTAGTGTCAGAAACAGTGGCCACATGATCAGCTCTGGTTTGGAAACCCGAAAATTCAAAGACAAAGAACCCATGTGCATTAGGTTACATACAGGGGACACAAGAGGGAAAGTAATTATTATTTAAACCCAGTCATTCTGTCTTCACACAGGGCCATTAGAAACACAGGGATATCAGTCACCAGAGAAGAATTTTCTCCCATAAAACTTTAGTTTTCTTAGATGCGAAGTGAAGAATTGTTTATAAGAAGTGGCGGTGGTGCTGACGCCGAGCTCGCTGCTCTGAAACTAACGCACGGAAGGAAAAGCCAGAAACAAAGCCTCAGGTTCCCCGACTTGTTTAAATCTGATCGACACAGCTGGCCTAGTTTTGGCTGGATTCTGTTACATAGGAAAAATCCTATTTACAGATATTTACTTAACAGAGATCATACAATATTTTTGGAAGAAATGCAACTAAGTATATCTGTAAAGAAAAAAGTACTTTTACTTATTTTAGTGTGTGCTGGGGAATTTCCATTTTTCCTGGTTGGTGTCTTTGACATAACTTTAGAAAGAACTAGAAAGAACAGCTAAAAAGCTTACTTTGAGATGATTAAGGCAGGAAACCTAAGAGACCCAGACACAAACCACTGTTTTTATTTTTTCTTGCTTGGAAAGGATCAATTCTGATTAAACTAAAATCCAATCTCTGAGATAGCTGAAGGGGAATATTCCCAAGTGGGTGGTATGAAGTTAGCTTTCTAAAGCCATTTTTGTTAAGAAATTGAATTTCTCTAGTTACGTTTTGCAACGTGAAATACGACAGGCTCATTCTGTTAACTGGGTTTTCATCCTGAATCTAAGTTCTTTAAAAAAAAATTTAGAGAGAAGGAGAAGGGGGAGAGAGAAACACCGATGAGAAGGAAACATCAACAGGCTGCCTTCTGCATGCCCCCACTGGGGATCTAGCCTGAAACCAGGCACGTGCCCTGTCCAGGAATCGAACCAGCGACCTTCCAGTGCATGAGCCACATGGCCAGGGCCGAGTCTAGGTTCTTGATCATACCTGTGATCTAATCCTAAATGCACCCTGACTGCACTGCTAAGAGCTTTGCCCGCACCTGCCCTGTTTCCTAGCTCCTCCTTTCAGTCTTTTGCCCCCTTCCTTGTCATCCTTGCTCTCCTTTCTCCCCTCCCACCCCACCAGGCAAAACCATTATCCATTTAAAACTAGCTGAGAAGGACGACCCATGGAGCCTGGAGGGTAAAGAATGAGACACGCTCGCGTGGGTTAGGGCTGGAGACCTGGCCCTGGCACTGCTCCCCCGGGCAGGGGAGCTGCTGGGGGAGCTGCTGGGGGAGCTGCGAGCTGGCTCTTTGGGGAGGAGAGTTTCGAGCACAGCTCCGGAGAAGCCCCCTTTTCTCATGGGGGTTGGGAAACACCACAAAACCACAGCTAGAAGGAAAAAGAAAACTCCACCACTGGCCTTTATCCGAGCGTGGCCGCCTTCCGCTCGGCTCAGTGCCCAGGAGTGCCCAGGAATGCCCAGTGCATCAGCGCCACATGCCCGGGACGCGTCGGGATCCTCGAGGGGCTGCCTCCGCGGGTGACAGCGCTTATGCTGTCCTGAAAGAGAGCCAGAAAAGCGCCCATGAGAACCCGGAAGCAACTCCCAACCAGCAGGGTCACCTCTCCAGGCCTCTAAGAGGGGGATCAACCAGATTCTCAGCAGCATCTGAATACCAGGAAGAGGGAGGGAGAGGCAACTCCCCCTTCCCCATTCAGTGGGGGAAGGGAAGAAAAGCATGTGTTTTTCTATGACCTGTCTGCTGGGAGCAAGACAGAAAAGGCCAAATGATAGGAAAGCATCTTTATTTCTAATGAACAAAAACAACTAAAAGAAAAGTGACAGAGGGTCTAAATCTAGTAATCTGCCATTCTGGCCTGGAGAATTAAAGTCTGTGAATGAAATCACCTCACTCAACCACACGGATGATGCTTCCCTTAGAAGAAAAGGAGAGAAAAAAGAAAAAGAAGGAAAAAACTTTATCATAAGATATAAAACAGTAAAGCATAAATGTACCAAAGACAAAGAGCTGCCTACTCAAAAGGCACGACCTTGTACGTCAGACGCAAGAGAGGCCTCGTGCAGAATACTGAGCTGGTGCAAGAGCTCGCTGGCAGTCCATAACTTTCCAGCCTTTTTAATGAACATGTTTCTAAAATGCTTGATATCACCTGCTACTGAATAAAACAGAATTAGAAAAATGCTCTAACAAACCAAAAAGCTTTTCATTTGTGCCTGATTGGGGTAGAACAACACTCCCACAAACCCTGACCAAACTCAAGACCTCAATCCCTGTGAAAGAGAAAAGACACCACCACCTCCTGGAACACCATTAACTTCCCAACCTCCAAGCACCATGCTTCTCAATTCGGGACGGAGAGCTGTCTGAAGGTGGTCGGGCACCTCTCCTCCAGTGACCCTCTTAGCCAGGCTTTGCCTACTCAGAAATGTTTGCTGGTTTCCCGCAGACACCAAGGCTCTGGAGAAAGTGGCAAACACAGGGACTCGGGAAAGTCGTTCCAGGACACCAGGCTGAGGAAACAACCGTCCTGATCCTTTGAAATGGACCCACCATGAGTCAGGTGAATCCCTCACATGTATACTCTTCCTTGGTTTAAGAGAACAGGCTCCCATTCTGAAAAACAGCAACTAATTATAAGCAAGTTATTTCTTGGAAAGCATGGGCTAGGGGACTAATGACCAGGATGTACTTGGGGCTCCAGCAATCTCAATTTTCTAAGATAACTGCGTCTTAAAACCTTCTCTACCCTATAATCTGTTCACAACATGTCAACCTTTCTCGTCTGTCCATTTATTAGGGAGTTGACAGCTGACCTGTGCCTTTCCCCCAAAAATTACATTAGATTCTTCCACTTAATCTTCAAGACTGGGGGTCATCACCGGGCAGCTAAGGAAAGGTGGCACACCTGTTTGCTTAAGGGAACAGACTGGTCAATCTGACGGGTCAGCTGAGACCAGTCTCCCACGTGCAGCACTGAGAAATGACTCCCGAAGATGGTGTGGTTACCGGAAGGGACAGAGCAACTAGGAACAACCAGATCGGGTTGTCCCTTGACTGGGAGCCCATGGAACTCAAAAGACGACCAGAACACACACAACTGACACCAACTCCCAGGTTTCCCATTAACTTCAAGTTTGAAGGAAGCATGTCTCCTAGGACCAGAAAGCCAAGTGTCTTCTACTAAACGAAAACTAAAACGTGAAGCAACCCCAAAGGTTCAAAAATTGTTTGTCCATTCACTGGCTTGTTTGGCGTTTTGGCTCCTGCCGCCTGGGAAGCCAGCTGCTTTATCTTAGGCACAGGTGGAGAAGGAAGTGCCGATCTCCTTTGGGAAACATCTGAGATCCAGACAGAAAGCAAGACGGGAGGTACTGGGGACCCAGAGGCCAGGCGAGCAGCGGGGAACTGCCCCTGCGGAATGGACCGCCACCCTCCATCAAACAGGCCGCGAAGGGGAGGGTTTCTACAGTGTTTAAATGAACGCAAGGAATCACACTGTCTAAACACAGCCTCCAAAGGGTCCAAAGCGGCGCATTCACCTAGAGACTTGACCCGAGCCCGCCTGCGCCCAGACCCAAGCCGCAGCCTTGCTGCCCGGCCTCCCGGCGCCCAAGCACAGCACCGGCCCGGCCCGTTGCAAGCTACTCCCAGCAGCGGCCTGGACCACCGCAAGTCGCGCACTGCAGTCCGACTTGGATTTCCAGGCCCCGAAGGGGGAGGACGTGAGGGGCTGGGTCTGACCGACGTGGCCTCGATGGGGCCGCGGCGCCGTCGGGGCGAAGGGGCCCGAGCCGGGGGGCGGCTGCCGCGGGACAGTCTGTCCAGCAGCCGGGGCCACCGACTGCGGGCGGGTGCGAGACCTGCCCCCGGGCCCCAGGAACACCGGGCGTCGTTCCCGGCCGGCCCCCGGTTCGCCCCGGCCCCTGCGCACCGCCCCGGCGCCCCGCGCTCTCCAGCCGCCGCTCCTCCCGCGCCCGGCTCCTGCGGACGCCGTCTCGGCCTGGCCCGTGGGGACCCGCCCCCACGGAGGGCCGGGCCCGGGCGGGCGGTGCTCCCACGCGCCCGGCACAGACCCGCGGGACAAAGCGCAGACAAAGGGCGGCGGGCGCCTGCGCGGCGGCGGCTCCTCGGGGACCGGCGGCCGCACCGGGCTCGCGCCGGCTCCGGGGCTCGACGCCCGCGCCTCGGCCGCACTCGCCCGCCCGCCCCTCCGGCTCCGCGTGTCCCGGCCGGCCGGCCCCTCACTCACCCTCGGTCACCTCCAGCACCTTGATCTGCTCCTCGGCGGCCGCGCGCACCTCCTGCACCGGCGACAGGATCCCGGTGAGCGTGTCCACCAGCGCCTCCTTCAGGCCCTGGGCCACCGGCCCCGGCAGCCCCGAGGCCGCGCCCGCCGCCGCCGCCGCCATCTTCCCCGCTCAGCCCGCCCGCCCCGCCGCCGGGCCCGCCACGGACGACGGCTCCCGCGCGCGGCCAATCCGCGAAGCCGCGCCTGCGCACCAGAGGGGCGTGCGCGGCGTGCGCGGCGTGCGCGGCGGGCGCGGCGGGCGCGCCGGCGCGGGGAAGGCGCGTCGTCGGCCTCCGCAGACGGCGCCTCTTGCGGCAGGGACGAGAACTGCACCGTCCTCCGCCGGACGCGCTGCGGAATTGGAGCCCGGAGCCCTGGAGACGTTAGTGGGCTTTTCCTAAAGCAGAACCGAGGCCATGATGCCGGACTGCAGGTTCATGGGCCTTTCGGGTGTAAGATGCTGTGTTAGGAGCGAGGAGGTGAGGCCGAAATGGATGTAGACAGGGTTTCAGGAGAGGGGCCCCGGGTCAGCAGTGCTGTTTTAACCAACATCTCTTTCCCCAAACGCCGAAAACAGGTTGACCCAAGCGAGTCTCTTCATCTCTCGGCCTCGGGGGTTCAGAGGTAGGGGAGAGGAAGCGGAAGTGGACCGGGCAGTGGGGAGTGTCGTCTTCAAAAAGTCCAGCCCCTTGGTTTTCTTGAGCTCACGTGGACATTGGAAAGTGTCCGGCCAGGAGAGATCACCCACGTGGGAAGGTGTTTCCTCCAGATTAAGTATTTAACGTGACTACTTGAGAATGAATGCTGTGAGCTGAGACTGTATAACCTTTTCTTCCCCCGGAGAGATTAATGCTGGACATCTGAGGGGTGGAGGGACAGGAGTGGTTTCTGTGGATGTACCCGGGCTGGACATGCATGGCCCCAGGGGTGCAGAGCCCCTGAACACTGGAGCAAGTGGAGGCTTACCAAGAGGGGCTGCTAACCGGGCAGGGCGGCACTGTGGCAGAGGGGCGGAAGGCGGGTACCGTTGTAGTGCGGGGTTCCAGCGCGGAGAGCCAGATGTTTCTCAGCAAGGTTCCCCGGAACCCTGCCTCTCACTCCCTGGTGGCCGGGGGAGCCAGCTGACAGCGCCTGGCCCAGTCTAAGACACTGGGTACACTGCGGACGACAGCGAGGGCCAAGGCACCTCATCGGGGGAGTCTTCCAGTAGGAGAGCTCTGAACACAAATTTGTCTCCTGCCAAGGTGGGTTGTGTTCCCACAGCAATTTCCTAGGGGACAGTGCTGGGACCCTGCAACTGCACAGTGGGGAACAGTGGGGCTCGCTTTCCTTCTTTCGGTGGCCAGAGGCTGAACGCCATTACAGCAGCTCTTCACGCGTACCGCAAGGACATGTCCAGAGGGTGGTACGTTTCCAAACATCTAGGGAATGGGTGGAGGACTTGAGAACCCTGAATTCTGGGCTGGATGTGTCGAGTTCTGGTGAAAGATGCTGCTAGGTCCACAGTGTGCCAGCAGGACGCCCCCCCCCCCAAGGGACCAGACATTCCCAGGCAGGTGCTTTTACCTCTGGGTCAGGCAATGGCCACAAGCAGCCTCACCTTCCAGACCAAGGACTGGGCTACAAGGTAAGCGGAGATGGAAACCAGACAGAGAGGGAGCTAGAGAGCTGGTGGACAATTCAGGAGATAACTTTATTGAAACGCAAATGGCACCAGAACAGATGAGTCTTGCTGGGAGGAGACATGTCCGAGGGACAGAGGGCCCAGATTGGGGGCCTCTGAAGCTGGCCCCAGGTGGATTTAATTTTCAACCAATTTGTTTTTTAAAACGAATTATTGGGGGGACAGCCCATCTCCCATCGTGATTGTTACCGCACTATATACATCGCTTTGCTTTCCAGACTCAGTTCAGCTTTCTCTACATTAGATATAAAAGGGGGCCGAATGAAAGAAGGGGGCCAAATGAGGAAAAACAAACACACAGACACACACATAGCTTGGTTTGGGGTTTTCTGCTCAATAAATAAACGTGTTGCAAAATTCCCTGCCACCTTCCCCCTGAGGATCACCATGCAAATGAGAAAGACTCCATCATGTGAACAGTGCTGCCTAACAGAGGACGGAGGTGGGGTGCTGGGGGGGGTAGCTCGGGTTGAAATTTTTAGATTGTTCCGTTAAAAAAAAAGCCACTAGGAAGTGGAGGCTGCTATACTGCAGCAGCAAAGACTGGAGGGGGCACAGGCCCCTGTCTGCCTACCTGACACCTCACTCAGAAATGGCAAGGAAGCCAGAGGTCCACAGGAGGTGACCTTCTGGGGACAGAAGGGTGATGTGAGTGCAATGGCTTCAGTCCCTTCTCCTAAAGGCTGGGTTCCAGAGCACAGAGGCTGAGTATTAGCATGTTTCTTTGTCCTCTACCCACAGGCGCTCTCACGGGGAAAATCAACGAACTTGAAAAACAAAGCCAGGTATCAACAGCATCTTCTCCCCCATGATCCCAATCAGCTAGAGTCTGTTGTGAGTTTGGAAAAATAGTTTCTTTTTTAAAGGATTTTTTTTTCTCTTCTGTCGCCACGGCTGAGAAGTTTCACATCGAAGTCCTGGTGTAGGGAAAGGAATGAGCCCAGGGACTTAGTTCCTGTACTGTCCCTTCATTGTGCTGCACTGTCCTGGGAGCCAAGCAGAGCAAGAGAAGGGGCCTTCCTGGGATGTTGGAGCCCTGCACCTGTCAGCTGCTCTGAGAGGGCCTCTGGCCAGGACCTCAGGCCTGGCAGTACCCTTTGTAACTCACACAACGGCTCAGAGTAGACACAACCCATCCAGCAATCTGATGAGTCCTCCGACTGCTTCCCCTTAGCTTGCCAGGTACACATTTCAGAGCCTCATGACCTCTCCCTGAAGGTTGCATTCAATTAGGAGATGCAAACATTCCCCTAATTACCCTCCCCCGCAAAGCACACATACCTGTCCTTGTGTTAAGTAAATGGAAAAACAAACCTAAGCAAACATGAGACTTTGGAATTAATGTTAAAGTCCGAAGGTCACCCAGGACCTTATTATTTGGGGTCCCAAAGCCGCTCAGTGTGGGAACTGATACTTGGCTTTTCCTTTAAAACAGTGACTCTCAGGGTGCAGGGTGCATCGGAATTGCCCAGAGGGCGTGTGGGCACCATCCCCTGGTTTTGGATTCAGTAGGTCTGGGAGGGGGCCTGAGAATTTCATTTTCAACAAGGGTCCAGATGCTGCTGGTCTGGAACCGCACCCTGGGGACCACTTCTCTAAGAAGTGAGAGCTGTTGGATCAAGGAACCAGGGAAACACTCACTTCCGTGAGCACTCCCGTCACAGAATGGTCTCCAGGACACTGGGAGGGTCTAGTACACACAGGTCATGCTCAGCTGCATGGGTCTCCCTGCAGCTCCCACCTTTTGATTGGCGTCCTCACTTTGAAACTACCGTCTTCCAGTTGACTCTTCTCTCCTCGGGCCAGGCCGAGCAGACATGCACACCTGGACCCTGGCTATGGGGTGAGCCACAGGGTGGCCCCATAGTCCCTGATCAGGTTGACTGAGGACTCATGAATATGTATTTATAAAGTTGATTCAACGATAAAGGGCGGTATCTTCATGCTTTGGCCTTTGGGGAACATGTGTCCCTAAGACCAATGCAACACTTACGGCATCTTCAGTTGGACTAATTTACTACTAGTTAGTAGTCATCATCAGAGTGCACCACATTCCATTACCATGTCCACCTCCACGTGTGAACTGTCTTTAGTTTCTCAGGTTCATCCTGGCTCGCGGGACCAAGTCCCACTGGGTCAGGCAGATGTCACTCATCCACTAGGTTTCATGGTGCTGCTCCAGGGGACAAGCTGCCTGAGAAGAGGGGGTTACCTACCACTGCTTTCTCCCAGCTCTTTTTGGAGTACTGCAGGAAAGTTACCTCGGACCATGGAAAGGGGGTACTCCTTGGGATAGTGTGGCCCTTGTTTCAGGGAGCTAGAAGGGAAGAGATTAGGTCTCGCACAGCAGGAGGACAAGAAGGCAAGAAATGAAAGCCCCCAAATCACTACTTTGTCTGAAGTCCTTAGGGAGTATGGAGAGATGAGTCAAAAGGTTGGTAATTCAAGACTAAGCATGTCAGCCAGTAAGGACTTCATGGTAAGGTCTCTGCATGGACCCTGGGAAAGAAACCCTTCCTCCCTGGCAGTCCCTAGCTTCCCAATGGCTAGACTCCTGAAAAAGACGGTAGTCTGAGGGTGCACAGAGATAGGGATAAGCACCACAGAGCTGCCACAAAGCACAGATTATTTAAAATATTCTATGAAGCCTCAAAAGATAGGAAACAGTCACAACAAACTGCTCTTGTGAGAGACACACACACACACACACACACAGACATCAGGCCCCATATTAGCCTCCAATCACCTAGTATTTTATTGTTAGTGCCTAGGCAGGGTTTGAGAAACAAATACACTGAACAAAACATGTTGGTCTTCGTCCGGAAGGGAGAGGGGCTGTGCTGAGGAGCCCTCCTGGACTGTGGCTGTCCCAGGTCGACGTCGGGGATGGAGCCGTGTCACCTGCTAACCAGCTTAGGTGAGGCAAGGAGCTGGGGTGCTGGAGAGTGGGGGAGAGCACACACTCCAGCCTTAGGTAGGCCGGACAGTCTTCGGAAGGGGTCTGGGGGTTGAGAACTCAGTCATGGACCATATTTTGTTTGAGGGACCCCAGCAATCTCCACCCAGAGGCAGGGACCGAGGTGAAATGCCGCAGATCTGCTCTCGCTGTTATTCGAGGGTCGTGAGGGAGCTCAGGTTTTGTTTCAGAGAAGTCTGGGGGAGCATCCCAAGGGGTCATAGCACCAGGAGGAGGCGGGCGCCGCACGACCATGGCTCCTCGGTGAGATGGGAACCCTTTCTGGAGGCGAGCACTGGAGACCTGGGCTCCATGCCGCAGCCGACTGAGAAGAGGGAGGTGAATCCCAGGAACAGAGAAGGAAAGTCGTAACGTGAGAGGCCTCCGGAAGCAATCTGCAGAGGAGCCAAAGACAACTCATGGTGGTCCCCATGGTTACCGGGGAGACAGAAGTCCCTCTGGGGGTCTGAGGCAGTTGAACGAAGGAAGGGGCCCTCCCTTCCTTTTTCTGTGACATCCAGGGCAGAAGGCACTGGACGGGCAGCACCAGGAGATAGACAGCGAAGGACTCAGCCACCGACCAAGACGGTGCTAAATGTCTGAGACCCGCCATGGGGCTGCAGCTAGCTCAGGGTCCAGAAGGGGCCTCCGTCCGAAGGAGGCCCACCCGGTCTTCCCTCCCTTCCGAACGAGAACTTCCCGCTCGGGGGCCTCCCTGTCCCGCGCAGCAGGGACCTTAAGGCAGCGATGTCAGCACCATCCTTGGACGCAAGGCCTCTTCCCGCCACAGAATTGCATATGTTACAGCTGAGTTGGTCGGGGATCTTCACAGCTCGCGGACGTAGCAGCAACAGCGGTAATGGTAACAGTCTCCAGCACGGAGGGCCCGATCCCCGCCGGGAGCGACCAGGCGGCTGCAGGTTCTCGGAGAACGATCTGGGCCACTTTCGGACCTCCATGGAAATATTGACGTGGATGCGGATGCACCCAACCCTGGGCTGGGTGGGACCGAGTGACGACCAGGCCAGTGTGCCTATAGATTCTGAGAAGGTCTTGTGCTACGTAGGAACCTGAAGCTTCAGCCTCAGCAGGCAGCTCCGCCTGGATCTGGGCCCAAGGGGCTTTCCGAAGCAGGGCACAGACTTCCCCACACGAGAGAAGCAGGTTCCCTCGTCCTTCAGGCCCAGCTTACCAGATCCGGGACCTTCCGCTCACAGTGCACTGCGCATCTCATCCGAGGCTTCTCTCTGGCTGCTCCTTGGGTTGTTGCTACATTTCCCAGGTGATCCTGAAGGTCCAGGTGACAAGGGGATGCACACTTAACGGAGGTAACGTTTCCCACAGACTGTGGGTGCGAGGGCCCAAGTCTCATCTTCTGTATAAATTGCTCAGTAAGTGGCTGCTGAAGGAAGAAACGTGGGCCACTAGGCCTCCAGGGCAGTGTCGACAAAAGATGGGCCCACTTGGAAGGAGGATCCTAGAGCCGTGTGTTCTGATGGAGAGACCCTCGTGGGGATGTCCTGTCTCTCGTATGTGAACACTGCCTTGTCACAGACGAGCGGTGGAGGCCGGCCAGGGGTTTGGATTTGGTCAGGCGACGTGGCTACCATCAGAACAGTGCAGAGCGGCCCGACAGGAGCAGCTCAGCCTCCTGGTTCCCCTGGTCCACGGCGAAGCTCGGGCAGCGCTTTGGTCGGACGAGGAGCCAGACAGGTGCAGGCAGAGCATGTGCTTTGTCAGAAGAGAAATCCGAGTTCTCTGTGTCTCCCGTGAGCCCAAGGGTGCCTCGCTGGTGCCAATCAGATGGCATCAGGTGCTCCAAACAAAACCCACCCGGAAAAGCCAAACCAGCCTCTGGAGAAGCGGCCTGAGCCTCTCGTGGACACGTGAGCAGATGGAAAAAACAAAAAAACAAAAAAAAAAAAAAAGAGGAAAGGAAAATAAATAGGCAAATGGGAGGGAAAATAGAAACAAAACAAAAAACAAAAATAAAAAAGAAGCAGGGTTTATTGACGCTCATGAGTGTGAAATCGGAGGGTACGGGCCAGCGCCGCAGTCTTTCTCTGGAGGCTGCGGTTCACTTCTGTGGTTTGGCGACTTTGCAGACCAGCAACGGTCCCGTCCCCTCTGACACCCAGGGCGGGCGACGCTCTCTACCTAGCACCTGGTTCCCCGCTCCAGCTTCAACTTTTTCATTTTTTAAAAACCTTCTACAGATGGATTTAAACATTTTTTAAACCACATGCTTCTCTTTTCCTGGGCTCCAGCCCGATCTCGGGGGTGGGGGGAGTGGTTGGCAGTGGCGATGGGTTGGGAGGGTATGCAGAAGTCCTGGGGGCTGCGGCCTCCCCGGGCGTCCCCGTGGGGACTGTCTCTCTCAGAGCCGCTCCTGAGAATCGGCGAGGACCCGCTGCGGGCTGGTTGGATGTCTTCTGAACTCTCCCCAGAAAGCCCAGGAGTCTGTCACTGAGACAAGAAGTCAAGGAAAAGGACCCAGCGATCATGTCTTCCCCAAAGTCGTGAGAGGAGGCCAGGAAATGCAGACTGGGGACACGGGTCCCCACACACCACCCCACTAGTCCTTGCTAGGAAGTTCTCCAAGGTGCAGCACCAAGAACCGGTGCCTCCTCCCTCTCCCTCGGTGGTCTCTCGGGAGAGCCAGCCTGGGGGGGGGGAGGGGCGCTAACTGAGCCGATACCAGCGTCCTGCCATCTGGGGTGACGGGCTGCTGGACCCTCAGAGCGTCGCCTGGAGGTTGGGGTCCAGGATGGTTTCTCGATCTGGAGACTCGATGTAATTGGCAGCCTCCTGAAGTTTCAGCAGCATGGCCATCTAGAGAGGGGCAGAGAGCGGTTGTGAAAGCTGGGGCTCGGGCCCTGCCTGCAGGGGGAGGACAGGGGGCATCTCGATGTGCTCTCCCGGCCGCTGAGGCTCAGTGGTTGGGCGTCGACCCTGCACCAAGAGGTCCCGGTTCAATTCCTGGTCAGGACACACGCCCAGGTTGTGGGCCCGATCCCCAGTGGGGGTTGTGCAGGAGGCGGCCAGTCGATGTTCTCTCTCATCCATGTTTCCATCTCTCTCTCCCTCTCTCTTCCAATCTCTCCAAAATCAACAAAGGAAAACACACTTTAAAAAGCATCTCGATGTGGGTCCGAGCGTGGTTTGTACGAGACTCGGAGCCTGGATGTAGACGTGGCTGGCGAAGGGCAGCCCTCTGCAGCTACACGGGTGCCACGCTGTGACGTGGCTGGTGAAAGGCAGCCCTCTGCAGCTGCAGGGGAGCGTCTGGGCCACGGGTGCCACACTGTGACGTGGCTGGTGAAAGGCGGCCACGGGTGCCACGCTGTGACGTGGCTGGTGAAAGGCAGCCCTCTGCAGCTGCAGGGGAGCGTCTGGGCCACGGGTGCCACGCTGTGACGTGGCGACGACAGACAACACGGAAGCCTCTGCTCTCCAGGTGCTTGCCACAGGGGTTCACAACTCCTCCCACAGACCCCCAGCCAGACCGTCACAGACCCTGCTTCTCAGTCCCGTCCGAACCCTGCAGGCGTCCACCTCCTTCCCTTCGCCTCTTATTTTCTGCCACTGCACCAGGTCTGTGACCCCCCATTTCATCTTAGCCTGGATGACCCTCTGTTCAGTCCAATGTCCCCCATTTCATCTTAGCCTGGATGACCCTCTGTTCAGTCCAATGTCCCCCATTTCACTGGATTCTCAACAGTCTTCCAACTTAAAAGCGTTTTTACACCTGTTTTGAACAGTGGAAATAAAGATGTGTTCTGACTAAGGAGAAAGAGTGTCCCACTCAAGGTAAAGCCTGGGGGTCACAGGCGGGTGTGGTAAGTTTCCACACTGAGCAGCCTCACCCTCGTGAGCACCCCCATGACCACATGGGACGCCCCTGCTTCCTTCCATACAGTCTGGCCTCTGTGGCATGCTGTCTCTCTCTCAATCTGCACGTCCCCCATTATTGGAAAGGTGGGATCATTTTATGTTTTCTTAAATCCTCACCCCAGGATATTTTTCCATTGATTTTTAGACAGAGTGGAAGGGAGGGAGGGGGAAGAGAGAGAGAGGCACATCAACTGGTTGCCACCCGCACGACCCCGACCAGAGCGGGGGATCAAACCTGCAACCCAGGTACGTGCCCTTGACCGGGAATTGAACCATCAGCCATTTGGTCTGTGGGCCGAGGCCCAAACCTCTGAGCCAAACCATCCAGGCCCCAATGTCCGTGCTGGCCGCCTGCACTTCCTCTGATCAAGTGCCTGTCCGCACCCCGTCCACTCTGCTGTTTGGAAGCGCTTGGGGCAGCTTCCTGGACTCCAGGCTCAATCCCTGGGGGTCACCACTACCACTGCCCCTGGCCTGCCGCTCGCCTGGGCCCGCTCCCTGCAGGGTTTGTGAAGTACCTGGACTGAAGCTGTCCCCAGGGCACCGCAGAGGGGACGGACCCGCTGCTGAACTCTGGGCAGTGCGGCCCCCTGCGGTCTGCCCGAGGCCCTGGGCCTGCGGGAGCGCCCCCTGCTGGCACACAGTCTCGCTCTGCCCATGCCGGGTCGCAGGCTCACGATCTTTACCCAGGGCTCGCTCTGACCACCAGGGCTCCTCGCTGACCTCATGCAGGGCCTGGCCTTCCCGCCACCCGCCAGGCCCTGCCCTCAGGGAATGCACCAAGACCTCAATGCTGGGATGCTCTCCCTCTCAGCCCAGGAGGGCCCCACTCACCAGAGGGTCTGACTCCAGAGAGCTCGGGGTGCAGTCTTTGACCGTCCTGTCCTCGGGGGGCGAGGCGATGCTGAGCGGGCCCACGGTGGGCGGGGGCAGGTGGTACAGCTTCGCCTGGTCCTGCTGGGCTGACGGCCAGGGGAGAGTGTCCCGGACCCACTCCACTGGGTCCTCCCAAGCAGCTTTCTGTCCGTGAGCCTGCAGAGAAGAAGACGTGGGGTCAGGGGAGGGACCCCCCGACGGGAGGCTGGTCCTGCCGTCCGAGCCGGTCCATTCGTGGGGTTTCCCGAGGAGGGAAGTGAGTTGGCGTCCACGGTGAACTGCCTCGGAAGGCAACGCAGCAGCCGGTGTGAAACTGGACACGTGCGAATCTCATGACCCCGCCTTTTCCTGTTCCAGTAGGAACCTCTTCCGCTTGGTAGCAGTGCCTTTGAAATGTCTGACTTTGTTAAAAACAGACGTTATCTGTGTAAAACCGCCTTTAACCTGGCCGTTGTGGCTCAGCGGATGGAGCGTCGTCCCATGGACTGAGAGGTCCCGGTCGGGAGGTCGGGGCACATGCCCAGGTTGTGGGCTCGATCCCTAGTAGGGAAAGTGCAGGAGGTGGCCGATTGGTGTTTCTCTCTCTCTCTAAAAAATCAATAAAAACATATTTTAAAAAAGCCATTAAGTTTGAAAACTACTAATAATGCAAAATTGGATGAAATAATGATTTCCTGGCATCTGTTGGATGGACTGCATCTCTGGAAATTTACCAAGTCACAGGGAGGGACCTGTCAGAGTAACAACCACTTTTATGGACAACACATGGCCGATGGGCCCAATGACAACGTCGAGGCCCCCGAGTGCTCATGGGGCCCCTGCTCCACAGGTGACACAGACCAAAAGGTGACACCTTCCTGTTGACAGTGTTCTTATGCAGACTCTTAAAATCTGCGCCACACCTTCATTTGTGTTCAGAACAGCCCAGTGATTGGGGCAGAGCAGAGTGTATCCTCTTGTTACATGAGGATGTTAAGAAGGTTCAATAACCTGGCCAAGGTAACATTTTTATTAGTCATGAGCGTAGGCTACAGCAGGGCTTTCCTTAAGTCCGAGAGCAATTATTTCTCCATTTGCCCTGATCCCTGGACGAGGCCGAGTTCGGTGGACACGTGGCCCCAGGCAGAGCCCATTCAGTGGCTCCGTCCATCCAGTGCCTCGGTCTACCTGTTAGGAAGAGAGCCTAAGACATCTCAGTAGCCCATGTCCAACACTGAAGAAGCCAATGTCCCTGCTTTGGGAGGGGACAGCCTGACAGTGGGGACGGAGCAGGGTCAGAGGGCAGGGCTCACCTTGATCCCGTCCTTGGCTCCTTCCTGCAGGTAGGGGATGATGGAGTTGTTCCACAGGTCAATGAACCAGGTCCGGAAGTCCTCGATGCCGATGGGACAGGACAGGAAGAAGCAAGGGCCTATGGAAAAGCGAGAGGTAGGTGAGCACCGGCTGTCCTAGTGGCCCAGCCCCCTGACGCCCTCTACCAGGCAGAGGGCTCTGATAAGCCGAAGAGGAAGGGAATTCAAAGCGGGGTGATTCCGAGACTGCAGAGCTGCGGGCTTGGCTGGTGATCTCCTGAACAATGCCTCCCAAGCTGGGTCCGGTGAGGGAGTGAGGAAGATTGGAAACCCCCCGAGGACTTCCCTCTGGTGTTCCATAAACTGCGGGGAAAACACGAGGGAGCTTAGCGTCCTGGAGGTTGACGTGACTCAGAGATCACGGTGCTAACTGCACTGGGAAGGCCGGCTAAGTGACTCCGAGGTTCTAAGTCCGAAGCCACAGGTTTTCAGTCCTCGATGCCAAAGACCCCAGGGCGGACGGGGAGCTCCGGCAGGGGCCGAGCGGGGAGGGGGGGCCCCTGCTGTTGGGGGCAGGGGGGTGCCCGTACCAATGAGGAAGTCTGAGGTGCTGTGCTTCTCCAGGAAGGTGTGCAGGTGGTACCACAGCTTGGGCACCCAGTCCAGCACCCGGAGCAGCTCCTCCTTGTTTGCGTTGACGTCGCTGTCCGACTCCACCAGCTTCCTCCTCAGGTAGCGGACGAGGAAGCCGTTGGCTGGCTCCACGTTGTTGGAGAAGGTCAGCATCCTACGGCCAGGGTGGGGAGGTGCGGTCAGAGTGGCATTGGGACCCCTGGCAGGGCGCATCCCCTGCCAGTCTGTGCACCTCTTCATTTTGCGCCCCCTCTTCTCTCCCCAGGACCCATCTCCACCCTCTGACTGACATGGCAAATGTGCCGGTTCCCTCTTCCCAGCCCAGATGGCTCTGGAGGGCTCTCCCAGGGCCACAGAGCTCACCTGAAGCTCAAGTGCAGGCCATGATTGGGGGTCATTTTCACAGGCTGATTTGTGGTGCCTATGATGTAGGGACTGTGGGGAGAAAGAGAGAAGGATTTCCTTAGACTGGTCCGAACACGTGTGGTCTGCCGTGTGCACCCGCCGAGAGCTCCCAGGCTGCACCGGCCCGGGCCCCGCTCCACCGCGATGGGGTGGGCCCTGCCCAGCTCACCATTTGTGGTACTTGCAGGTGAGGGCCCCGTTGACCAGCTCGCTGATGGAGCCCGCTTCACTCAGGTCGTCCAGCAGGATCACCAGGGGGACGTCCCCTGTTCCTGTATCGCGGTCGATCTGGTTGGCCAGGTTGGAGAGGTACAACTGCAGATCCTGAAGGAACAGAAGGCAGGGGGGTCAGCACTCAGGAGCCGTAGGCCCCCGGCTCGGCCGTGGCAAGAAGGCCCTGCAGACGCTATGTTAGGTGTGGGTCTCCCTGGGGCCTCCGCCTCCCACCCCACGCACCTGCCCCGCCTGTAGAAGCATTGTCACGGACGTAAACAGTGCTCCGAGGGCCCTAAAGCCACCTCTTAAGCAGGGATCCCAAAGGCCCCCGAAGGTGGGACACACTAATGCTGAGTGGATTTTCACTGGTGGGCACCATGACATCTCCCAGGGGTTTGCCTCCCCCACCAGGGAGAACCAAGAGTGGAGCCAATCCCCAAGTGTTGAGGTGTGCTCGGAGATGTCAGGACTCGGCAGGGGACACGCAAGACGTGATGCGAAATTCTGAGTGCTTCCCCGAGGAAGCCCAAAGCCAGTGAGTGACGCGGGAAAGAAAGGTGGGGGGAAGGCAAGGAAGAGAGGGGGAGGGTGGGAACGAGGGCTGTGTGGATTAGACAGTGGTCAGCTCAAGAAGCTTCACAGGCAAGGGGGGCCTGTGGGGGGTGAAGTCTGGAAAGCGAGGACTAGAAAAGGGGGTACAATGAGGGGGGGTGGGGGAATGACGACTGAGGTGAGGCCAGGAAGGGGAAGGGAAGGGGCCTGGGCAAGGACGGGGGAGGCTGAGGCCAGAGGGGCTCTGGGAGACAGCCACCTTGCAGGACTGCTGGTGCATGTTGAAGGTGCTGACGATGCCCTCGGTGACCTCGCGGCCAGAGCGCTCCACCAGGTACTCAGCCAGCCGATTGGTCAGGTAGGTCTTGCCCGTGCCGCTGGGGCCCGAGAGAACCAGGCGCCGGTGCTTGAGCAGGAGGCTGATGTAATGTTGCATCATGGGCTTGGGGATCAGCGTCTCAAACACCAGGCTGTCCACGCACTTCTCCTTCAGACCTGAACCCCAGCCCCAGAGAGCGTGAGTCTCAACGGGGCCCCACGTGCTTTTCCTTCATCTAGGAGCCCACTGAACAGAAGAGCTCAGAGCCACTTCCTCCAGGGCTCCACAGGACGCCCTAACCCCGAGGCTGACCGTGTGGATTGCATCTTTAGGGACCTGCTGTGAGCTACAGGTTTGTGGGTGGACTTGGCAGAAATGTCCTTGCTAACAAAAATATCCCTGGGAACAAAAGTCCGGACTGAGCCCTGTCTTTTACATTTCACGTTAGTCGTTCCCCAGTATCCGCTCTCTGCGGGGAACCTGTACCCTCCCAGCCCCTATCCCCAAGGATATCAAAACCCGAGGATGTTCAAGTCCCTCATATACACAGCATAGTGTTTGCAAGCAACCTATGCACAGTCTCCCGTGTACTTCAGATCATCTGTAGCTACTTAGAATACTGGATACAATGTAAATGCTATATAAACATTCCGCTGTATCATTTAGGGAATGATGGCAAGAAAAAGTCTGTACCTGTTGCAATCATAGGCCTAACTATATGACACGTCAGTAACAATGTAACATTTGAAAAAATTATTCTCCATCTGGGTTAGTTGCACCCAAGGCTGCAGACTGTGGACTTGAAGCACAGTGAGACTCATACTGTAGCTTCTGTCATGGCTGCAGGGTGAACACGCGGTGGGCCAGCTGACCATGCACCCCCTCCCTCCACCCCTCCCCCTGCACCCTGAGAGCAAGACTGACCTTTGAGGGAGACCGCTATGTTATTGACACCTCGGCGGCAAGGAGGCATCTCTGGGGGCTCGGCATCCAACAGCCGTTTCACGTGGCTGATGCTGTAGCCGTGGATGGACTCGGTGCTAAGCCCCAGGGTCGAGGCCGGGTCCATCTTAGAAATGTAGTCCTGCCAGAGGAGGGGACCAAGAAGATGGCGAAGAACACCGAGCAGTCACAAACACACACGCAAAAGCACAAGGAGAAACAAAACAAAACACTGGAGAGAACAGACGTGGATGGGGAGGGAGGAGCATGTGGTTTCCCACTTAGCATTGCTCCACAAGGCAGCCAGGTCCCCAGGACCCCAGTGTCTGCGTGAACACGTGTCCCTTTACCTTGAACACCTGAAACACAGCTTCATCTAGCATCTTCCAGTCGACCTTTCCGCTGACCTTGCTGCACCCCAGGAAGAATTCCTGCTGCTTCAAGTCCTGTGAGGCCAACATAGAAGTACGTGAGCCTCCGGGAAGATGATGCCAAGGAAGGAAAGACCCCAGAAATCCTCGGGAGTGGAACACTCTGGTTTTGGGGGGCCCAGGCTTTCTTGGATGAGAATGGGTGTCGTCAGCCCTCCTGAAGCCTTACCCCTCTGATGATGTGCTGGGGGGGCATCCTCACCACCACCCGGAGGGTGGCCTCCTCCTTGGGGCCACAGGTGCTGATGCCGTCCATGGGCGACAGGTCTGCAGGCAGCAAGAGGACCTATGGCTTCAGGGGTACCCACAGGCTTTCCCACACCTCCCAGCCCTCACCTCCCCCCACGGCTCTGGAAGGTTCACAGGAGGAACGGACACCCCACGCTGGACAGTGACGAGAGTCTTTGTGTCTCAGGGCCTCTACCGGCCCAGGGAAGATGCCACCCGAGCACGTGGAAGGGTAACAGTGGGTGGGACCCTCCCCTGCTCTCCCCGGACAGGCTCTTCTCCCAAAGTACCTGCGTCGGTGAGACCCGGGCTGAAGGAGTGGGTGAGGGCCAGGCCTAGTGAGCGGCGAGGGGACGACAGAGCAGACGACCCAGGGACCTGCCCTGGAGCTGAGCCCGACGAGGGGCCCGGGGCCACCTTCAGCCGGTCGTTCTCCGCCTTGAGCAGGTCCACCTCCAGCTGTGGCCAGAACGGACAGGGTAGGAGACGGGCGGGGCCGGCGGGCCTCCCTCCCGTGACAGCGCCGCCCGGACCCACCTGCATGTTGTGCATGGTCTCCCGGAGCTGGTCCAGCTGGTGGGCAGAGTTCAGGGCTTCCAGGCGGATGTCCGTCAGCTTCATCTCCTTCTCCCACAGCTCGGAGCGCAGCTCGGACACCTCCTTCTTCTCCGGCTCCTCCTCCTCGCCCGCGTGGAACAGCCTCGCGTGGGGTGCCGGGTGAGCGGAGACCCTGCCAGGAAGCAGGCGCCACAAAGGGCTGGTTACCAGGGAACGGAGAGTGTGGCTGGTGGTCGCGGTGCCTCCTGCTGGTCTCTGCGGCCCAGGCAGAGGTCTGGGGGGCACCGTGTGTCGGGGTTCACGGGCTGACTGCCAGCTCTGGCCAACGGCTCGCAGAGGTGCCGGGCCGGGGCCAGGGGTGGGAGAACACTCACTCAGGAGCATCGATGCCCACGGAGGAGGAGTTGGAGGACTTGATGGAGGGTGAGGCCGTCTCCGTGGAGCCGTGGGGCAGCTTGGGGGACGAGGGGGCGGAGGAGTCGGGGGTGGCGATCTCCTCGATGTCGGAGTACGAGGACGCTGACTTGGGTCCCTTCTTTATGCTGAAGGCTTTGTTGAAGGAACTTCGGAGCTAGAAGGAAGCAGATGCAGTCGAGAGCCGTCAGGGCTCCTGTGGGGACGGGGAGGGACGTCTGGACACAGGCTACAGGCAGGGCCTCTGCGGCTGGCGCCCAGCCCCCCTCTTTAGTGCCTGGTCGTGGACTGTGGGCAGAGTTGCCTAGAAATCGGGGCTGAGACAACGCAGAGGGTTCTGGTGTGCTGCTGCTGCTGCTGGCTACAGAACTTCTAGGGCCTTTTCTCTCCCCTGGGGGAGCTGAGAGGGACAGGGAGGCCCCCGGAGGTCTGGGGTACACCTTGCGGTGGTCCAGGGACAGCAGTCTACAGCCCAGCTGTGCGGCCCAGGGTCAGCTCTGGCCAGGGCACATGGAGTCATAATCTGCCCCTGCTCACTAGACACTGACAAGACGGTTCTGCAGTTTCAAGTTTTCCTTAGTCTGCGCTCAGCACGTCACAGGAGGGGGATAGCGACCATGTACGGGGGCTCTCTGCCACTTGGGACACTGGCATGTGACCACAGCTTATTTGGTTGGTTTCAGGCGGTGTCGGAGCCAGGGGTTGGGGGTGTGAGCGGAGATGCAGACCGGGGTCCTGTCCCGCACCCACACACATGCATCCACAGCATGCACACCACACAGGGACACAGACGGGAGGGCGGCGAGACAGCGGGAATGAGGGGCCGATGTTACAGGAGATGAGCGACCCGGACTTCGGGACAGTGAAAATGGAAAAGGGCAGCCTGAGGGGACTCCCCCGAGTGTCTCCCGGAGCACAGGAGGGCCGCTTGGCGGTGGCTGGGGCTGACGGTGCTGTGTGCTGGGGTCTCCCTAGGTCGGGCAAGGAGGACCCCACTGGCTGCAATGGGGCAGCAGGGAGGGTAAGTGTGCAGTGACCAGGAAGTGTGGGTGCTCACGGCTCAAAACTACCGCACAGCTCCGTTCTCGGTGGAGATGAAGAGAGGCCAAAGGGGCAGGGACCTGGCTTGCTCAGGACGGCATGGGACTTGGGCTCCCCAATTTCAATCAGTGATGTCGAGACACACCGCCTCGGGGAAGCCGTGCATGAACATGTGGGTGTCTGTGCATGTGTGTATGCGCACGCCGAGTGCAGAGACCCAGCGACCACGTGTGTCCGGAGCGTAAGCCCACTCAGGTCATGAGGACCCTCCGTGGGCTGGGAGTTCTGATGGCAATGACGCCGGGAACAGTGGATGGAGCCCGAGGAGAGGGCACTCCTTCCCAAGGGGCATCGCAGAAACCTCCCCAGGCAGACACGCGCTGGAAAGCGCAGGGCCCGGGTCTGACCACGGCACTGTTCAGGGAGCATCTCGGTGGCCTGGGTGGAGCACCCTTTGAGGAGCGCTGACCTGAAGGGTCTGGTTCAAGCAAGTGTCTGTGCTCCTCCTGCTCAGCCACTGCTCGGGCTGGACGGGCTTTCTCCCTGCCCGCTGCTGTCCACGCGGAGACCTCCTGCATAGGCCTCTCCATCGGCCCCACTCCGCCTGGCTCCCCGTGGCCTCCCCTCCCTTCTGTGACGGGTCCTTAAACACACCGACTGAACCAGGCTGTGGGCACTGCTGGGTTCTTATCAGCTCTCCATCACTTTTTTTGTCCCCCCAGCAAATCTGCAGGCCCCCGAGGGCTGAGACCTTGCATTTGACCTTCACATCGATAGCACCCCGCCCCACATTCGGGGTGAGTGGGTCCCAGAGGTCTGGTGAGTGATGGAAATTCTGGGCTCGGCCCCTGCCTGTCCCGGGTGACGCTCTCATCCCGGACACGTATTTGGAAAAGCCCAAGGACGCTCAGAGCCAAAGGCTTCAGGGTGGCTCGGAGGCCCCCTGGCCTGGGTCCTGTCCCTCCCCTAAGTGGGTCATCTCAGTCTGGACCCCACTGGCCTGTGGAAAGTGTGAGTGAGCGTTTATCCAGGGACTGACTGTCTTCCATTTGGGGGCTTCTAGGCTTCGATGGAACAAAACCAAGAAAGCTCACACTCCGGACAGGAGTGAGTCTGACTGCTGCTGTGATGAGAGGGACAGGAGGGACAGCGCAGGGCTGTGGCCTGGCCAGTGGCCCAGTCCTCCCACTCGGGGGCGGGGGCAGCTGTAGACGGACATGCAGTGGGTGAGCGGGAGCTCTGGGTGGCTGTCAGTCTTAGGAGCGGCCGGTTGTCTCCAGGGGACAGAGCCGCTGTGGAAATGAAGGCAAGGCAAAGGGAAGGAAGACAGGGGGCCACAGCTCTTACCTCATAGACCTGGAAAAAAATGGGGATGTGAAGTCAGCATTTTGAAGGGGAAAGAAAAGAGAAGCAACACTTAATCACTCGTTTCACACAGCTGATACCTGTCTGCACTGCACAGGAGTCGGGGGCCAGTGCTACGGACCGGGGCAGAGAGCGCAGGGCCGGCCCTGGGGGCCCCTCCCTACCGCCGGCCGCCGAGGACGAGCGGCCAGCCAAAAGGTTCGGGTTACCTGGGAAAAATAAGACCCGGCTCTCTCTGGGCCAAGCGCACCAAAGGGTTCCTTGGGACGTAATCTGGAGCTGCACAAACACCTCCCCAGAAAGTGGAAGCAATGGCCCCAGGGGCATCTAGAACGAGCGTCTTTGTTCGTGATGCTTCTTTCCATAGCGCCGAGGGAGCAGGGCGGGGAGGCTGGGATGGGTGACCCTCCTGCTGGCCACACCCTGGACCTAACCTGCGTGGACAGCCCCGGAAGGCAGGTGTGTGTGGCTGCAGGGGCGGCCTCAGGACAAGCGGGGAAGGACCATGGGCGCGTCAGCAGAACTCACTTGAGCAGACATGACCTCGGGGCTGAGTGAGCAAAGGGACCCCGCCTCGGTCACCTCTGCAAGGACCCGCTCCCTGTGCTGAGCAGGGGGCCTTGCTCCGCAAGCCCCTCCCCGCGACCTTCACCCACCCAGCTCTTCTTCTTCTTCTTCTTGGCGTCGGCATCCTTGCCGCTGCCGACGCTGGAGTGGCTGGTGGTGCTGTTGAGGCTCGAGATGCTGTCTGAGGAGTTCTGCCTCTTGATCCGGAGTTCTGGGGCGAGGGCGAGGGGGAGGAAGAGACAGGCTGGACTCAAAGTGTGAGGCGTGGGCAGGGTGGGGGAGAGGGAACCACCCAGCTTCTGGGTCCACGTTATGGGTGTTGGGATCATTCTTTCACCAAACGTTTATTATTCATGATGTCTCAGCATAAAAAAAAACATGCTAATGGTGAAAAATAAGTAATAAAGTGATCTCTGTTCCCAAGAAACTGCGGGTGCACAGGAGACATGGTTTTGCACAAACCAATGTACCCCCGCCCCTGGCCCAGGCACCCCTCACCGGCCAGTCCAGAGCATCACCCTGATGGGCACCAAGGGGACCTGGCGCACTGTGGAAACACAGGTTCACTCTGCCGCCGCCTCCTTTTCATGCTCCCGGCCCCCCTGATCTGGGGCTGGCTCGCCTACCTTTGGGCGTAGTTTCCGAGGCATTGAGGGCCCCCTGAATGACTGCCTGGGCCTCTGAGTTCTTCTTCTTCAGAAAGTCTATGGTTTCTCGCAAATCCAGCAACTCAGTGTCCTGAGAGAGAAATGGAGCGGTGTCATGCGATGGGACCGGAGCACCTACCAGGTGCCAGGTGATGGGCTGGGCACCGGAATCCTATCAGATAAGGGACACAGGGCGGGGAAGTGGACATCTTCATTAAGGGGTAGCTCGAGGATTCAGGGTGACAGAGGGAGAGCGGGCCTCAGGGCACTCGGGGGTGCGAGGCCAGCCTGCCCCGCCCGGGCCTCTCACCTTCTCCTCGGCCGTCTCCGCCAGGTGCCGCAGGCGGGACGTCATGTTCACCAGGCTCTGCTCGAAGGCGGCCACAAGGTTGGCCTGAAAGAAACACACAGGGGCCCTGAGATGCCCGAGGCCAGGGCCGGGGGCCTGACGGGGACGCAGCTCAGCGGACCTGTCTCAGAGCTGACCAGGCAGACAAACCTCTGGGGGATCTTGAAATATGGACCCCCCTGAGCGGGCAACGTGCACTCAGAAACTTCCCGGCGGGGCCAGCTTCCCGAGTCATGACATGGAGTTTCCCGGAGACCTGGAGCGGGTCCCTGTCACTACCGGGGGTGGGACTGTCCCTCTGCTCCGTGGGTCCCGGTGGGAGCTGTGTCGGCTCTGTGTGCCTGGTGACTCTCCGTCCTGAGGGTCCTGCTGCTCCTCCTCCTCCAGGCCCGTTGCAGGGCCGGGAAGGGAGCCCAGGGAGTGGCAGGCTTGTTTCGTGAAGGGGAGGGTCCCCGGGACCCTCCAGGTAGGAGGCAGGCGGTGGCCACGTGGAACCCAGCCTGAACCGGTGCCAGGACGTGGAGGACAGTGACGAGGCCGGGACTGGAGGGGCACCTTGGGGACGAGACGTCGCCGTCAGTGGAGGGTGTGTGAGCAGCTGACCTCCGCAGGAAGTGACGGATGTGTTCTGCCGGCTCTGGGATGATGCTGACAGTGACACCGTCACCGCTTCCTGTCACTGATGATTTTTCCTCCCGGCGGGTCGATTCGTTTTCACCCATTGCCCTCGAAACCCCGGAGGCTCCTTTCGTCTGACCACAGCTGTGGCTGCTCTGGTCCGACCGAGCCTCTGCCTCCTCGGCATGCCGTGAGCCCGAGCACTTGATTTCACCTCCCACAGGGGAGCCCCCGTCGTCTTGGCTTCATGTTGTTTGCTTCTCCATGTCCCTGGCCGTGTCTGTGGACAGACGGCCGGTCGCCCTGCAAATCCACCCGCGGTGACCCAAGAGCTCCTGGCTTCTCGTGTCTTCTCTGTGCAGGCCTCTGCCGGCGGGGGGCGCGCTTCACACATCTGGCCGGGTTTCCTCCGGGCTCTGCTGAGCCCCCTGATCCTGAACCCCATTAGGGTGTCTGCAGGACCTCCGACCAAGGGGTGGCGCCGGAGAGAAGCGGGCACTGGGAGGGGCGGCGGTCTGGGTGTGCCCTCTGCTGGCAGCTGGGAAGCTCATGGACCAAAGCTCGGTCTCGTGCCAGGATCCTGAAGGAAGCTGCGGGCCCTTCCCCAGTCCCCTGCTCGAGGGCCGCAACCCCGGCACCGCTCTACCTCGGAAACTCAGAACCTGTCAGTCTGGGTGTTTCGTTCACTCTGTCTGAAGCCAAAGGGAACGTCCTGTTCTAAGGAGAATCATCCTCCCGATTCATTTCCTTGGCCCCTGCCCAGGCTCGCTAGCAGATGGCCGACAGCCCGCAGCGTAACTGGTCAGACGCGGATGTTCTCCCCGGCTCTCCCCCAGCATCTCCCCGGCAGACTCTCCCGGGGTGGGCAGGACCAGACCCACCACCGCGTCGGTGGGTGGGGTGCCGGGAGGGAGATGTTCTTGTTTACGTTACAATTTTTGTAAGTTCCCACGAGTGGAAAAAGTGTTTTATATCAGCTTGGAGCAAACCACATACAACGGCTACACCGAGGGCTTGAGAACAGAGAAGACGGAACCGCCCGCGTGCGAGGGGACCGCTGTGGGGACCCACGGGAAGCACGGGAAACACGCGAGGTCTTGGTGAGGCACCTCCTGTCGGCTCCAAGGGGGACCGCGGGCCTGACAGCTGGGCTCCCCAGAGAGGAAGGGAGAGCGGAAGCCAGAAACCACCGTGGAAGCTGGAGACACGGTCACTTTTGTGCGGACACTTGGAAAGGCCCCGCGGATCCGGCTCAGCTGCTGTTTACAGCTTGGGGGGAAAATGACTCTTATGTTCTCTGTTCGCAGCTTGGCCGCAGGGGACGAACGGCCGCAGCCTGTCCAGGGGGCGGCTGCCACCTCACGGGGCAGCCAGACCAAGGTCTGAAGGAGAAACGAGGTCAGTCCAAGCGAAAGGGCCGTGGGGCAGGTCGAGGGCACAGACCAGGCCGCTGGCTCCCAACCTGGAGCTCAGACCCTCTCGCCGCTGCCCGAGGGGCCTCCTGGGACAGGCAACTGGGAGGGTGGGGCCTACGCAGTGCCACGGTCACCAGACAGAATCCTAAACCCAGTTCTGTGTCCGCCGGTTCTGCACGAGCAGAGACATGGACGCCCCCCAGGGCAGTGCTAACCGTGCTGGGGGCTCTGTGATTGCAACAATCTATGGTGCTTCCTGTCCACGGCCAAAGGCCAAGCTGTGCCCACCTCATGCAGAAGCACTGGCCGTCCTGTTCTTCCTCTGGGGCAGGGTGGGGAACGTTTTCTGCCAAGGGCCACTTGGATGTCTATAACATCATTCACAAGCCATAAAAATGATCAACGACCCCGGCTGGTTTGGCTCAGCGGTTAGTGTGTCAGCCTGCAGACCAGAGAGTCCTGGGTTTGGTTCCCGCTAGGGGCATGTACCAAAAAAAGAACCCAAACAGAAACAAACAAACAAACAAACAAGATCAATGTAGCCTGGCCAGGGTGGCTCAGTGGTTGAGCGTCCACCCCTGCACCAAGAGGTCGCCAGTTCGATCCCCAGTCAGGACACACGCCCAGGTTGTGGGCCTGATCCACAGAGGGAGGCGTGCAGGAGGCGGCCCATCGATGTTCTCTCTCATCGATGTTTCTCTCTCTCTCTCTCAAATGAATAAAGAAAGAAAAAAATCTTAAAAACAAAATTATCAACTTAAAAATTAGCCGGCTATATTTGGTCATGCTAACTTAGTGAGGTGTGCGACGTTAGCTGGTATTGATTTTGCCGGCCTTATATGGCCCACGGGCCAGACATTCCCACCCCTGCTCCAGGGAGTTCAAAGACCACTGGAGGTGAGCTCATCCATATCTATAGGTTAGGCCGGAGACAGGATGGTTCTTTAGAAAAATCAGAACTCAGAGGCGGGGTGGCTGATCCCCAAGCCCTCTCCGATCCCTGTGTCAAAGCCCAGGGACTACTCATGAGATAACTGTCCTCCTCGGCCGAACTCATCTAACTCTGGGAAAAATAACGGCCCGGGTCTCACTCACGTTGGCGGACAACTGGGACGTCAGGGTGGCCACCTTCTCCTGGGACGACTCCAGTTCCCGGCGAAGCTTGCGGATCTGCTGTGAAGGGAAGAGAGAGAGCTTACGGCAGCCGCCCAGCGGGCCGGGGGGACGGTGCAGTGCAGGGGCTCGGCAAGCAGGGACGACGGCTTAGCCCCTACCTCAGACTGCATCCTCTCCTCAGCCTGGAGAAGGAGCGCAGAGGGGAGAGAGAGAGAGGAGGTTACCAAGGGCGAGGAGCCAGGCCTGTGGCCGGCAGAGCACGGAGAAGCGCGGCCCAGAGGTGCCAAGAGGCCGCACCTGCCACCGGGCCCTGGCTCCGGGCAGGACTGGCCCGGACCCTACCCCAGGGCCTGGATTGAAGAAGACTCTGGACAGGGAGGCTGGGAAATGACACTGGTTGATCGGAACAAACCCTGCCCGCCCCAACTTGAAGGAACCAAGAATTGAGGGCAGAATGAGACCGAGAAGGACAGACGGGATGAGCCCTGGGCAGCGGACACGTGGTAACTTGCACATGGTCGGGTTCCAAAGTCCTGGAAACCCACCCGTCACCTCGCCACGCGCACACGGCAGGCTCTGGGGCAAGGGCTCTCCAGCCTGCGGAGCAGGGCAGCAGGGTGCTGAGCCGGAAGGACCCTGAGCCACAGAGGACCCAGCCGAGGGCCCCGCCCCCACCCAGGGGCCCGCCGTGCAGGGGGGGAGGGGCAGGGGGGAGGGGTCAGTGCTCTTACTGAGGAGTACGTGGAGGACGCGCTGGAGGCCAGGGACAGCACTGAGCCGTGGACTGTAAGAGAAAAGAACAGGGAGCTCACGGAGGGCCCCGGGGACGAGGCACAGGCCCGGGAAGAGCCCCGAGGTGGGAGCTGGCACTGCTTCTGGAGCAGCAGGAAGAGCAGATGGGGCCCAGCGGGGCCGACGGCCCGGAGCAGGCCGGGTCTGCCGAGCAGAGCGCCTCCCTCCAGCCGACGCTGGCTGGGCGGTGGGCCGGGCTCAGCGGCTCCGAGGGCCCAGGGAGGAAGGCGACGTCCCCGGCAGGACCCGGAGGCCTGGGCCGCGGAAGGCAGTTCCCACCAGAGCTGCAGAGAACAAGCCTGCCAACTGCCTCCTGCTCTCAGCGAGGGACACGCGAGCGCGCTGGGGGCCGGGAGAGGACTCCGGTGTGTCCTCCAGCCATGGAGGGATGTCCTGCCTCCAGGAAGCCGGCCCCCAGGCTGACCATGAACCCGACACCGTGACCACCACGGCTGGCCTGAGGCTGATCTCGGAGAACTCTCAGAAGAGAATCGCAATGCCTGGCTGTTTGTCAGGACCTACGAGCTGCCGTCATGTCCCTGCGTGACCTCGTGGACCCGAGACACTGGGAGCAGGCCGCTGCTGGGGGTGGGCCGCGGCTGGGAGCACGCAGAGGGGCCGCCGAGTCTGTCCACACTCATCGCCCCCCAGCCCCAAGGTTTTGGGGCCCCCAGACCCTTCGGAGGGATGGGAGAGGAGCTGAGATGGCCCCGCTCAATGTCGTGGGAGCGTGTGCCTGTGCTGGTCTGAGACGGTGGAGTGGTGGCGGGTGAGGGCCCAGCGGAGCCAGGATGAGCGTGAACCGCGCTGCGTGAAGTCTCACCATCGTCCGTGGGGTCTCGGAAGGATCCTGACCGGATCATGCCCTTGGGTCTGTCGGCCAGGGACAGGGTGCTCCCCACTTGGGAGCCGCTGTACAGCTCGAAGGCGGCCTCGTGGGTGGGGATGCTGTTGGAGCGGGTGATTCTCGGCGTGGCAGCCGCGGTGGGACTCACTGGAAGGACAGAGGGGGGCGGGAGGGGGCAGGAGAAGAGGCAGGGTCATCGGCGCTCTGGGCCCCGGGGAACGGAGCGCCAGGAGGGAGAGGGCAGGAGAGGCAGGGGAGGTGGGGCGGCGGGGGGTGCGGGCAGATGGGGGCCTGGTGGGCAAGGGCCTGCTGTCTGCAGTCAAAGTGGCATTTCCTGTGCTGCCTGCCCTGGATGGTCAGGCTGGGCGCCTGGCGCTCCTCCCGAAACCCCCACATCACGGAGACGTGCCTGTGAACGCGGGTGACACATGTGGCCAGGAGGACAGATCAAGACTCGGGTCTGAAGGACACAAAGAGCCAGCTGCAGAAGGGGCTCAACTGGGGGCCTGTGGGCGGGACGGCGGGACTGACGGTCCCGCCAGGTTCCAGGGCACTAACGCAGCAAAAGACACAGCCTCTCTGCCCGGCGTTCCCGCGAGAAGAGCAGGGGAGTGTCAGGTCCAGCGCAGCCTGCTCCCCAAGCCCCTGGGGGTCACAGCCTCAGGGCTCCCCACACAGCGCCACCACGCCGGGTAGTTCCTTGGCGCGGCACGGGCAGCTGGATGGCTGTCTCTCCGGACAGACCCAGGCAGAGCAAAACTGCACACCTCTGGCCCTTCCCAGTGCGGCCTGAGCACCGTCCAGCCAGGCCCCTCGGCCCCTCAGCCCTGGGCCGGCAGCGTAAACGCATATCCGTCGCTTGGCCCTCAGTGGAGACAGAGAATAAGCTGCCCAGTCCTCCATCTAATGGTCCTAGGGACCAGATGACCTTTCCACAAGAACTGTTCTCTTCAAGAGGCAAAGCGACCCTGCTTCCTAGTTCTTCAAGTGCCCCCCAAGTCACCCCAGAGGACGGAACAGCCTTTCCTTCCCTCGGCTGGAGGAGGAGGTGGATTTAGACACAGCGAGCAAACCGCAAGCGTGGCAGGGCCCCGAAGAGGTTCCCGCTGGGCCGACCGCGCCCTCCCCCGGGCGTCTCTGCGCCCCGTCCCTGAGTCAGGATCCCGCCTCCTTGCTCAGCCTGGAAAGGGCGTGGCCAGAACATGGCCCAGGGCGGCGCTGCCTCCAGGGCAAGGCTGGTCCCGGCCCAGACCCAGCAGTTGGGGACCCTGGGCTTTTCTGGGTTTGGAGGCAGGCCCCCATCCTTTGCAGTCAACCAGTTGTCCCTTCTCCCTCCCGGCAGCCTGACAGCCCACTGGTCTGTGCCGGACACGGGTCGGCGGCCATCCTCGGCTCTCGCCCAGACCCTCGGGTGCTCCGAGGGCCCACCGCGCAGGCCGGGGTCAGCGTGTCGGCTGGTCTTGGAGCCGTCTTAGTGGGATGAACGAACAGAGGCACCGCGAGGCCGCCCAGCACCCAGCACCGAGCGAGGCAAACGGGAGGAATTCAACGCCCAGCGGGCTGGCCTCTGCCTGCCGGCGGCCCAGCTCCAGCCCCGTCACAGCGAGCACCCGCGGCACTGACCTACGTTGGTGAGCTGGCCCTTCGCACTCAAGGACATGGAGAGCGCAGGGGGGGACGCAGGCTCTGACTGGCCATCGGGCTCCGGCAGCCCCCCCATGGCGTGGGAGTGTCGCCTCTCCTTGGTCTCCTCCTGGGACTGCAGCTGGTACCTGAGGGAGGCAGCAGCCGTCAGTCTGGGCCACCGAAAGGGGCAGCGGTTTGGCGGGTGGGAGCTCTGAAGCAGGACCAGGAGGGAGCAGGCGGGGATGCCCAAGGAGGGAGCTGAAGCGGTGGTGACTCGGTGTCCTCCCCAGACCCCACGAGGGGCTGCAGGACGACGGCAAGGACCCCCAAGGGGAGGGAAGTGCTGGAGGCAAGGCAGACCATCTGCTTCGTAAGTGGGCTTCCAAGCAGCGGGGTCCTGCCTGCGGCCCAGTGCCGTGGTAACAGCGGATGCCCTGCTGTGTCCCACGAGGCCCTCTGGGTCCCCCCAAGGCCGCCTGTCCCCCCTCGGCTTTGAGGGGAAGATTACAGCGAGGAAGTACTGCCAGGATCGGGAAGTGCTGCAGGCGGGTGCAGGTGAGGGCGAGACTCCCCTGTGCCAACTTGTTTCTGCTCCAGGACAGAGCACGGGCTGATGGGGTGAGGCGGCACAGTCAGCAGGGGCAGGGCGCCAGGGTCCCCCAAGTCACGGCTGGGGCTCAGGAGAGGTTGCCCGGGGCAGGGCAGGAAAGCATGCGTCAGGGTTACCTGAGCCCTTTCTTGGGCAGCGTGTTCCGATCCCGCTGGTTACTGTGGAGGAGGAAACAGGAGAAGCGTATGGGTGCCTCTGAGCGCCTCCAGCGTGGAGCCCAAGATCTGAGGGACGCGCCCCTGAACTCAGACGTCAGACTCCCTTCCCTCTACAGGCAAGGGGAGGCGGCCACAGCCTCTTGGCCCCAACCTGAGAAGCCGACCTGAAATGCTCAGTGCTCCCCTGATTAGAAAGCAGGGTGTGGGAGCTACCAAGGCCACGGCATGGTGGATGGAGCCAGGCCATGATGTCATAGGAATGACATAGGAATGGTGTCACAGGAACGGTGTCATAGGAACGGTGTCATAGGAATGATGTCATAGGAAGGATGTCATAGGAATGATACCATAGGAATGGTGTCATAGGAATGGTGTCATAGGAACGGTGTCATAGGAACGGTGTCATAGGAACGGTGTCATAGGAAGGATGTCATAGGAACGGTGTCATAGGAACGGTGTCATAGGAAGGATGTCATAGGAATGGTGTCATAGGAACGGTGTCATAGGAACGGTGTCATAGGAACGGTGTCATAGGAATGGTGTCATAGGAACGGTGTCATAGGAATGATGTCATAGGAACGGTGTCATAGGAACGGTGTCATAGGAAGGATGTCATAGGAACGGTGTCATAGGAACGGTGTCATAGGAACGGTGTCATAGGAATGGTGTCATAGGAACGGTGTCATAGGAATGATGTCATAGGAACGGTGTCATAGGAATGATGTCATAGGAACGGTGTCATAGGAACGGTGTCATAGGAATGATGTCATAGGAACGGTGTCATAGGAATGATGTCATAGGAACGGTGTCATAGGAATGATGTCATAGGAACGGTGTCATAGGAAGCAGAGGCTGCAGCTGACAGGCTGAACCAGCTCTGCGACCTCAGTGTGTCTCTGTGCAGTTTCCCTACTGATACGATAATTGAAAAACTAAAAACACCCTACCTACCTCACAGAGTTGTGAAGCAGATGAAATCACTTCATGCAGACAAAAAAACCTTGAAAGTCGCTACATGGCGATCAGACCTAGGACAGCACTACTACCGGCTGCAGGAGCTGGGACCTGGCACAGACTCTGTCCACCTACCTGTCCAGCTGCCCGGCGCGGGGGCTTCCACTCCAGGCCAGCTCCTCTGCCTCTTCCTCTGGGGGCATGGCCGAGGGGGCAGGCGGAGTGGGCGCGGGGGCGCTGCTGGCGAAGGCACTGGGCAGGCTCATTGGCAACTGCAGGGACTCCATGCTTCTGTGCAGGCCTGAGAGTTTGGGGTACATGCGGGGCTCCTTTGGCACGCTGAATGCACTCATGAGCTCCAGGCCTTGGGAAAAGCTGGCGGAATTAATATTGAGGATGGGAGCCGGACTGGGGGTGAAGCACGACGGGAGGGGGCCCCCGGCTGCGGGGCTGGCCGCACGCAGGTCTGGGACCTTCGGGGCGTGGGCGTCGCCGGACGACGGCAGGTCCAGGCTGTTGGAGTTGACCTTGTCCAGGTTGGCTAGCGAGGGCGGCTTGGCAAAGCTCTTCGCTGAGGCCCTGGGTGTGGGGGGAGGGCGTGTTAGAATAATGGCGCTCGGGCAGCCGGAGGCACATGGGACCTCAGAAGATCCTCGCCGGCCTCCTCCCTCCCGGGCCGTTTGCAGAGCCCAGGAGCTGAGCTCCCAGTGATGCCATGACACGCGGGCAGCACACCCGACCCCTGGCCGGGGACCCTGCGTCTTCCCACACAGAAGCACATGCGTGTGGGAGACACAGGCAGCTCTACACGCACGGGTGTGACGTGTAAACGTGAAATCAGCGCGCAGGAGCCGGTGGGCACGACGGTTGGGCCAGCAGAGGGGCCTTGGACATCAGGGGGGAAAGGGGGAAGGAACCGGGCATGCAGGGCGTGGTGGAGACCCTGGGGGCCCAGGCGGTGCCCAGGCCAGGGAGTGCAGGATCCGAGAGAGGTCGGGGGCAGACGGACGGGGTGGGGGGCGCTGCCATGCAGGTACCTGACAGGGGCTGGCAGCAGCTCCGCCAGCTTGGTGGCCGGTGGGTGGCTCGCCTGGTTCTTCGGAGTGGTCTCCGGGGAGCCGATGCTCTTCAGGGAGATGTTGTCTGCGTCCAAGGCCACTGCCTTGGCCTTGGCCTTCTCCTTCTCCCGATCAGTCTGATTGACAGGGGCTGGCGTGGCCCGGCCACTGGCCACCTTGGAAGGCTCCTTCAGCCTGGAGGGCGCTAGGCCTGCCTGCTTGGTGCTGAGCAGGCTGGGGTCGATGCTGCTGCTCACGGGGCGCGGCCCGCCCCGCCCTCCGGTCACGCTCATGGAGCTGGACTTGGCTGGCCGGGGCAGGCTGCGGTACTGGATGTTGGAGCGGGCTCCGGGGGCCAGGAACCCGGGCTCTGGGCCGTTGGACACGTCCAGGCTGGTCTTGCGTCCGTTCACCGGTTTCACGGGGATGCCCGAGGACTTCTGGATCTTACTGAGCGTGGCGGAGCCACCGGTCTGCATGACGGTGGCCGTGCCTGTGGCAGGAGGCGGCTTCTTGTAGCCGAAAGACCCGGAAGTGGAGGGGCGGGCGATGCCGGAGGGCGGCTTCTTCGCGTCGCCCAGGCGGTCGCGGCCCGCGTCGGAGGAGGACCGCTGCAGCCCGGTGCTCCTCGCCGCCAGCTTGCCCTTGTCCGTGGCTTTGCCTTCGGGTTTGCCTGCACGAGGCCGGAAAAGGTAAAAGCAGGGGATTGGCCAACGACGCACAGCACCCGGGGCCCCGCCTGGGCAAGCAGTCCCCCAGCAGCTGATGACACTTCTTGCCGGGGGGGGGGGGGGGGGGGAGTGGCCTGGGAGTGGTTTGTTTTTATTCTATTGCTGTGTTCTGCTTCCAGACTACAACGTTCCGTGTTGGTTAACATGGCAAAGGCCACTGCAAGGATTTTCGAGAAGGAAAATCTAGCAGCTGGTCCAGGAAGGAGGAGGGAAGCCCATGGACCAGAGGGCGGCCACGTCCACCGGCGATGGCAGACGAGGGGAATGTGGACGAGGTGAGAGTAGCCTCGGGTGGGCTTTGGGAGTGCACACATGTGACTTCTGGTTTTCTAGGGGCCCCCTGAGATGCCTAGCACGTCCCTTGTGAAGATGTGTCTTGGGGAAACCAACTGGTCTCGACATAACCTCCCGACTCCCCCTCCCCGTCCTTAGCCGTGTGACTCGGGCTCAGCCACACGACCTCTTCGAGCTGTTTATTCCGCCCACTAAGTGGGGTTGGCGATACGCTCAGGGTGCTGGGCAGGCCCGGCGACCACAGGGACAGGGCCCCGACGCTCCCCTCACCCCGGCTTACCTGTGACCTTGAGGGCACTCTGGGCCGTGTGAGTGATGGGGGAGGTGACGGCCACCGGCGGGGTCTTGCCCTTCTTCAGGGACCCGGGGTGGCCCAGGCTGATGGGCTTCTTCAGCTCTCCGACCTTGGACGTGTCGTCACAGCTCTCGGGCCGCTCCCTCCGCCACTTGGAGCTGCTGGACTCCATCTTCAAGCTGCCGCTGTCGTATTCCAGCTTCTTGGGGGCCTTCTCCTCCGACTCACTGAGCCAGCTCAGCCCGCTCTCCGCCAGGGAGCGCTTTTCCGAGTCCGTGCGGAGCTGCGGAGAAGACGGGGAGGGGCTCGGTCACTCACTGGGGACGGGAGGTGGACGGCTGGGGGCTCACCTGGCTGCTGGGTGGCCCTGCTCCTCCCAGGCTTCAGTCAGCTCAGGGTTCCACCCACCCCGAGGGTGTCAGAGGGAAGACACCCCACACATCCCCGATTTCTTTCTTCTCCAGTTGGAACAGCTCCGAACTGGCTGGTCACTAGCTATGGGCACTGGGGCAGCTAACAGCTTAGGTGACCGCGCGGGAGCCGCAGGCGTCTTCCCGCCAGTTCCCAAGGGCTCGGTCAGGGCGTCGGGGGACCACGCCGTCGGCGGGTGAGTGTCGCACTGGCCAGGCTCGGCCGGGCGTCTGCACACGCACGCACCACTACCGTGGAGCTCCGGCGGGAGGCGGTGGGAGTCGTCGGCAGGGAGTTGAGTGAAGAGCTGGCGTTGAGCTCCTCCGAACTGAGGTTCTCGGAGGCATCGCTGAGGCCGCTGCTGATGGAGCTGCTCTCGTCCCAGCTGCAGGGGGACACAGGGGTCAGGGCCGGAGCCGCCGAGGCGGGACGCGGACTTTGCTATCGACGGAGGGATGGCCGAAAGGAGAAAGCTCGGGGGTTAGGCCTGGGTGTGCAGGGAACCCCACGTGTGACCCAAGCGGCCTTGTCGTCGGACGATGCTCCTTCGTCAAAGGCGCAGGCTGCCTGCTCTGGCCAGAGAGGCTGTATGTCCTCCACAGAAAGGCGCACGGTAAAGACGAAGATTAATCCGGTCACGGCGACCGGCTCCTGCTCCTCGCCGACGGCCCCCACCCCTGCGACCACTACGTCAGTGTCCACTCATAGACGTGCTCTCTGGGCGTTTCCCCTCCCCTTTCTCCGTCTCTACAGTTTTTAAACAAGGGCTAGGAAAAGACATTTATTTTTCTAGCACCACAGAGACCTGCCTGTTCTCGCCGCCCCTGTTTGTCCAGCTCAGGAACTGCACTCCAGGTGTGGCCAAGCCGAGGGGCCCCGCCGTGCTCAAAGGGCCCATCGTCACACGTTGGTATCCCGTCTTGTTTCTTTAATACATTTTTTTTTTTTATCCTCACCCGAGGACGTTTTTCCATTTTTTGTACAGATAGAGTGGGAGGGAGAGAGAGGAAGAGAGAGAGAGAGAGAAAAACATCGACGTGAAAGGAACACATGGAGTGGCTGCCACCTGCACGACCAACCAGGGCTGGGGACAAACTGCAACCCAGGTACATGCCCTTAGCGGGAACCGAACCCGGGTCTCTCCGGACCACAGGCCGACGCTCTAACCGCTGAGCCAAACCGGCCAGGGCCATTTTTTATTGATTTTTTTTTTTCTTAGAGAGAGAGAAAGGGAGAGAAAGAGAAACAAAAAACAAACATCGATGTGAGAGAGAAACATCCATCGGCTGCCTCCTGCACGCCCCCCACTGGGGACTGAGCCCGAAACCCCGGCACGTGCCCTGAGCGGGAATCGAACGGGGACCTCTCAGTCCATGGGCGACGCTCCATCTGCTGAGCCACACCGGCCAGGCTGCATCCCTGTCTTTACACAGAAACCCGGGTCCGCTCACTCCCTGGCCTGGCACAGCCCCCGCTGTGTTGCTGGGACTCCGCACATTCTTCGGTTACATTTCTGTGGGCGGCGGGTTCACAGAACATCGAGCTGCGTTTCCAGCTGTTCTCACCTGGTCCGCTCCTCAAAAGTTTCTCAGCTCGAACCCTGTCTCCTACCTCCTTTCTCCAAAGGTCCCGGCTCCCAAGACTTTTCCCATTTCGGTCCCTCCCCGGACCCTACAACGCTGTTCAGGCTCCGCTCGGGTTTTAGAGCCAAAGGCTGAGCGCGGGACTTCGTAAGGCTGCTCTCCCGGGACGCCTGTGCCCGCGGGGACTCGCGCCCCAGCCCCGCGTCTGGGCTCTCAGCTCGCTCGTCCGTCTGCGTGGCAGGAGCACGAGGCTGGAGGCTGAGGGCAGGTTGCTGCGAATTAGCCGGTATCTGGAAAATCTTTTTCTTTTCGATTTATTTCGACTTTTGTATCGTGAACAAAAGTCAGACGTGCACGTCACGTAAGTGCTCGGCCCGGGTCCCCACTGGCCACCCTCTCATCTGTGTGCGGAGCACAGGGAGGTGGGTGGTTCGCACCCTCGGCTCGGTTGCCGTGTGGCGATGAATCCAAACACACCGAGGAAAAGCAGAGAAAACGCGGGGATTCGATTGCTACGAAGCACAGTCACGATCAAAGGACAGTCCACCTCCTCCCTCCCCCAGACTCACGACACAGTACGTCCACTCGTCCAGGGCTGGGACGTCACGCCCCCGAGAAGGGAAGAGCAGCTCTGGTTTAAGGACCAGCTCCTGGGGGCAGGACGAGCTCTCCTGCAGGCAGAGTATTCAAAGCAAATTCTCTCAGGGCGAAGGCAGAGGAGCCTGGGGCACCAACGCTTCCATCGGAGACCAATTATTGGTGATCAAGGTCTTGGAGCAGAGAAAACCCTAAGGGACACCCCACCCCGCCCCGCCCCAGAGGGCTGCGCTGCCGGCCAGTCCACGAGAAGCCCTGCATTTGGGGGAAGCCTGGTGCTGAGACAGGGCGAAGGACTTCATCTTCTCAGAGAGGCTGGGGCCCCCCTGCCCCAAGGACATTCCTCCCTGGTCAGAGTCTTTTCCCACCATAAGAAGGTAGACGCCTAAGACGCCCAGGAAAGTGGACTAAAGGGTTTGGAGACTGGGGGTGCCCCCCTGGAGGAAGCATCCGTGCTACAGTTAAGATCCGAACATTACCGAAGAGTATAAATAAACGGACGGTGGAAGGAGGCCCCGTTCTGCCCTCCCGCTTCAAGAACTTCCCTGGGCATCTGTCCCCCAGCGGGGTGCCCCCTGGAGCACCCCGCTCAGCCCCGGCTCCCACACTGGCACCTCAGCCTGCCCCTCGCTGGCTGGTTTACTCTCGTTTCCGTGACACCCGTGCCCAGCAGGTTTCCGGAAAAGGATGCTGGGGCAGCACCGTGTAAGATCTGACCTACTGTCAAATGCCTTCGTACTGTTTCAGCACGTGAGATTCGGGCTGAGCGTAGCCCCCTAAGCTGACAACAACCCCCTTTCCCAGTCTGAGGGTGTTGCTCCACCGTCCGGCCTGCATGGCTGCCCTTCTGATGCTTGTCCTGAGCATGTGACCTGTTAGCTTCCTCTCTGGAAACCTGGAGCGTTTGTTTTCCTGGTGTTCCGAAACATCCCTAACACTGGCCTGGTGCGGGCCCACGTCTACCCACTGAGTTGGATACTGGCCCTTAAAAAAATTTTTTTTTCTTTATTGATTTCAGAGAGAGAGAAAGGGAGAGGGAGACAGATAGAAACATCAATGAGAAAGAACATCAATTGGCCGCCTCCTGCATGCCCCCCACTGGGGATCGGGCCCACAACTTGGGCATGTGCCCTGACCAGGAAATCGAACTGGTGACCTCTTGGTGCAGGGTCAACACTCAACCACTGAGCCACACCGGCCGGGTCTCTCATGATTTCTTTGATAATTTTCTCCTCTCCATTTTCCAGTTCTCTCTTCTAGAAGGTCTGTTATTCAGATGATAGGTTTTTAGGTTGATATGGTCTCTGACTTTCTCTGTTATTTGTCCACTATATATATATATATATATATATATATATATATATATATAATTAAACTCTACTTAGGGGGCAGTAGCTTCCATTTTATCTCACGATGCCTGCGTTAGGATGTTCATTTCTGCTACCGTATTTTTAATTTCCAAGGCGGCGCTAAAATAACAGGTTGTTCTCTTCCTTAGACGCAATCTCTTCTCCTGAGATGTTCATTCACTCATTCCTCTGGAGGCGTGGATTTCCCATCTCTTTGCAGAAATCCCATCTTTCTGCTGAAATTCCCCATGTACTCAAGAATGTAACCCACTGTTTCTACTAGATCCCTAAAAAGTATTTATAAAAAATACTCTGCAATACTTGTCCTGCGGTTCTAACATCGGAGGCATCTGTAGGTCTGCTTCTGTTCACTATTTCCCCCCTCGGTGGCATTTTCCTGCACCTTCAGGAGGCCTCTGACTTGGCATCACATGCAGATGCTGTGAGGACAAGAAGGACGATTCGTGTTCGTCGAGGAGGACGCGGGTCTTCCTCAGACGGCTGCCAGAGCTGAGCGCCAACTGTGATCTGCGGCAGAGCTCGGTCTGGGCTCTGTTGTTGCTTCGGTTACAGTCAGTTCATGGCTGGTCTCAGGTGTTTTGAGGGCAGGATCAAGACTGTCCTTCTTGTGGGACTTGGGTTCTGACCACAGTTGGACTGCAGAGTTCCCTCCATGCCCTACGACCCAGCCACCAGCTCTGGGGGCTGAGGTGCCCCTTTTGCTCTTGGTGGCCCTGTCTATGCCCGTGGTGAAAGGTCTTGGGCTAGGACGGGTCTTCCTCGGCCCTGCTGCCCCACCCTCGGATGTCTCTGTCCTGTGCACCCTGCAGGGGACCGGTGTCTTGCTCAGCGGTGTGCATGCTCTCGGTCTCAGCTCACCGCCGCTGTATGCTCAGAGAGGAAGCGGGTACACATCTGCCCTGTGACCGAGTCTCCTCCTGGCCAGCCCACATGCTGCCATTCTCTCCTCTTGCCGCAGCCCTGGGATGAATGCACCATGTTGTCCCTGCTCTCCTAGGAAGGACTCTCTCCTTTCTGAAACCGAGTTGCGAGTCTGCATCCTTAGATATCAACTGTGTTCTTTTCTAAGTTAGTTTGTAACTTATCCAGCTTCTTGTTGTTGTAGGGTGGGACAGACAGTGTAACATTGTACCATTCTTTTCAATCAATTAGCGCTATTACTTAAACCTCCACCGAAGGCTGAGCAGATTCTTCTTGTTCTCTCGCCCACTCTGAGCACTGAAGTAGGACCCGTCACCTCTGCAGGGTGCAAATGGGGCTGCGAGGAGGCCAGCCCGACTGGACACGGCTCTGTCGTGTCCGAGCAGACACGTGGCCAGGCACGGGGCAGGGCACACCCCTCCCCTCTGGGAAAGGCACCAACGCTAGCACAGCTCTGGGCTAGGACTGGCCGCCCGCCCAGACTTCTCTCACACGGTCCACTCCCCACGGTTCGGGTCCAGCCATTCCACAGACGTGAGATGGCCAAGGGTGTGGGCGAGCCGGTGGAAGGGTGGACTAGCTGCGACCGCACGGGAACACGTCCTGCTGCTTCCCCAGCGCGATGTGGTTCTCAGAAGCCAGACTCGGACGCTGGGCCTGTCTCCTTGTCTGGAACACAGATGCCTGGTGAATCAGTAACCACACGCTCCGATCATTTACCACGGAGTGGGTAAGCGCTCCATACAGCAACCTCACCTTCTCCTGAAATAGTTGCCTTGCAGTATGAAAATAGAATGTGATCTCATTGATAATTTCACATCACATGCCGAAGCATCGGTTCAGATGCATCGGGGTAAACGAACAGTGGGATTTATTCCGCCTGTCTTCCTTGCTAAAACGCCCTGAGCAGGAAA